TTATTTATTTCTAGGCACAGAGATGCAATGGTGATTAAAAACACATTCAGTTGCTACTCCCCTTGACCTACAGTCTAGCGAGGGAGGGAAACAAACCAATCAAACAGTCACAGATAAATGTATAATTACAATTTAGGGAAGAGCTCTGAAGGAAATGAGCCCAATTTAGACAATGCCTATGCTGAGAACTGAAGGATGAAGAGGTATTCACCAGATAGAAAGAAAAGGAAACCACGGTCTAACAGAATGCAGTATGTGCAAAGGCCCTTCGACAGGTAGCAACACTAAGCAAAAAGCAGCATAGTCGGAGATGATGCTGGGGAGGTGAGCGGGAGCCAGGCCATGCCAAGGCCTTGGCCTTCGTCATAGGAGAACTGAAAGCCAGGCAACGGTTGTTCCAGATATACACTTTGAAGAATCACGCTGGCAGCCATTGGGAGCACAGACTAGAATGGAGGCCAAACTGGAAGGAAGAAAATCAAGAGTGGCGGTAGGGAGATAAGGTCGGAAATCATGAGACAGTCTAGGTGGGAGATGGCAGTAACCTGAGTTAGAGTGATAACAGAGAGGATGAGAAGTCTAAGAATGCAACCCTTAGGTCTGCTGTGGCAAATAAATGGCACATGCCCTAATATTTTCCTCCAGGCTTGCAACCATGAGGGAGGGACCTCACTAGTCAATCATGGGTCCCTAAACATGGCCTCAGAACCCTCAACATCACACCTCATGTAGTGGTTACCAATAGATCAGATGAAACCTGATGAGATCTACTTGCTACCTGACCTGAGAACCTCTATGAGCCGTAGAGCTGAGGGGGAGGGCCATCCAAGTGCACTCATCCATCTCCTGCCTATCCCAGAATCTAGCAAAAAAACGAGTGGCTCATCTATCTTCTCCAGGAAGCCTTCCCAGCTAACCTCATCCTCTCCTGTCAACCCAGAACTACCTCAGCAATGAGCATGCAAATTTCATGTGTTCATAGGCATATTTATCTCAGTATTACTTTTTTCATGAGAACATGTTCTACCTCTCCTGTTAAACCCCAAACTTTTGAGGGCCATGCCTCCTCCTCTTGGATTTTCCAACCAAGCCTAGAATAAGTGTATGTAAACTGTAGGAGCTCAGTTACTGCCTTAAACCACTAACACAGATCCAATGAAATCTCAGGAGCTGGAAAAGTCCACAGTAGCTTTGGTCCAACTTCCCTTCCCATGCTAAATTTTCCTTCTCTGTGCTTTAAGTGACAGATGGCATAGTGGTCAAAGCACCAGCTTTGGAGACAGAAAATCTGGATTCAAATCCCCGCTCTCTCACTTACTAGCTGTATGACCTTAGGCAAGGCACCTCACCTCTCTCAGCCTCAATAACCTCAGTAGGACAATTGAAACAATCATGATAATCTATGTCAAAAGGCTGTTTGAGGGTGAAAAGGGATAACACTTGTAAAATGCTCAGCACAGTTCCTGGTATACAGAAAATGTTAAATAAATTTAGCTAGTATTACTGATGTTATTGCCAATTCCATAGTTAGATAATGCTTACTGTTAAAAGGTCTTTCTAATACTAAGCCAATAATCAGTTTCTAAGATATGGCCCCTGATTTCTCAAGTTCTGCCCTCTGCTCTATGGAAAGCACCCAAGGATTCTCTAGCTAAGCTAAACATTCCCAGTTCCCTTCTATTCAGTACACATCATCGTTTCCCAATCCTTCGATATTGTGGTTATCCTGCTCTCTGCTTTGTCAGATAGCCAGAGAGTGTTGCACACCTGCACACTCACAGAGCATATACACTCATGTGCATAATTAGGGTTCCCTACATATTTATTTCCTCCACCCTACTCCAACAATTATAAAGAAACATTTATAAAGAAAACATTTTCTGGAGAAGGCACTGGGGAGAGGGTGGAAGACATTAGAGTTGGTAATGCAATGGTAATGCACACAGGGCATTCTTGGCTTTGAATCCTAGCTCTGCCCCTTATTAGCTGGGCAAGGTTGCCTCAGTTTTCTCATCTATAAAATGGGGATAATAACAATGTCTATCTCAAAGTGTTGTGAAGATTAAATGGTACAATACAGGCAAAGTGCTTGAAACATAGTAAGAGCTCAATAAATGTTAAACATTAATATTATATATTATTATTACTATTCACATATTTAAAG